TCGGTGAGAGTTTTGATGACTCCTCTCTTTTGACTGGGGTGATGGTTTGAACCACTGTGCAGGTACCGGTCGGTATGTGTCGGTTTCCTGTACACAAAAGTGTCATTCATGTTGTTTGGGGCCATGGTCTGACTGAACTGGAAGACTTCCTGAGGCACCTCATCTCAATAAACTCTAAAATTCAATTCACTATGGAAGTGGAGAAGGATGGGCGACTGCCTTTTTTGGATGCCTTGGTGACCAGAAAAGCCAACGGAAAGCTGGCGCACACGGTGTACAGGAAACCGAGTTATAGCTGAATTCTTGGCCAGAGTGGTCAATGACTGCTTCAGGTTCTCGTACTTCCCAACAGCTTGGAAGATAGGAACATTTATCATCATCCCCAAAGGGAATATTATTAACAAAGACCCTAAAGCGGTTCGTCCAATAACACTATTATCCATTTTTAGTAAGATGCTGGAACACTTCATAAAAGGGGAACTAATCTCAAATCAAACCAATGGCGAATTACACAATTGCCGACAATTTGGCTTCGTTAAGAACAAGAGCACCACTGATGCTATTAGTCTGGTACTGAACGATGCAAAGAGCGAGCATAAGTTCAAGGTAGCAATATTTATAGACATAAAGGGAGCTTTCGATCACCTATGGTGGCCGGCGGCTCTCGATGCACTTAAGAGGCTTAATCCTCCACGTAACATATATCAGTTACTACAAAGCTATCTGACTGATAGAGAGATATCGTACACATGTGGCGCAACAGAAGTGAGGCGTATTCTAGAAAAGGGATGTTTGCAAGGATCGAAGCTGGGACCGAACATATGGAACATGATTGTGGATCCTTTGCTGGAGGCATTTGAGTGCAATGACAAGGCAAATATTGTGGCTTATGCGGATGACTTGTGCATTACCACATGGGGCAGCAATAGAAATCTATTGGAAGAAAACATCTCCATGGCTCTTAGGACACTAGAAGAATAGGCAGAGCGACAGAGGCTTTGTTTCTCCGTCTCTAAGTGCAAATATATGGCCTTTGGGGCGAAACTATCCCGAAAAGCCATAGTTAGGCTGAACACACTGCCGATGGCCAGAGTTAAAACATATTCATATTTAGGCATAATACTTGATGATAAATTGAGCTACCTCAATCATCTTGCACACATAAGCTGTAAAGCTAAGGGAATATTTCAATGGCTAAGACGAGCCACCAGTAGACTATATAGAGTATCAGACTCTACACTTAGCACTATATTCTATAGACGAATAATGCCATTATTTACATATGGAGCGGAACTATTCGAGCATAGATTGCAATTATGCAGAAGCAAAGTCAAGCTTAGCTCCGTCAGGGGCGTAATATCAAGAGCCATCATTGGCGCCTATCGCACAACATCCACAGAGGCAGCCGCTGTGTTGGCCAATATTCCTCCTATCGAGGAGCTCATATATGAGTACTTAGACACAAGCAGACACCGAAAATGCCTAGAAATACGAAGAGGCACATGGCACATAGAAGCTAATCCAAGACTAAGTAAAAGAGCACTCAAGGAACAATTGAAAGAAAGAACAATAAACACATGGCAAGAGCAATGGAGTGACGCAGAGACAGGAAGGGGTACTTTTCAATTCCTCCCGGATGTATTCTGTAGACAGAGCATCAATATCTCCTGCAACAAAAGAACCGTCCAAATGCTAACAGGACATGGTCAGTTCAAGATCCATTACCAGAGGATCGGCAAAAGCACTACTGCCAGCTGCGATCAATGTGGAAGCATGGAGAGGGACGACCCGATCCACAGAATCTTTCATTGTAAGCACTATCTCCACCTAAGGCAAGAAATCAATTCCATTATAGGGGACCACTACACGGAGTGGAGTACACACAGAACCAGAGGCATGACAAGGGAAGAACTTCCATCGGGAGCCTATCACCAAGAGGCAGACTCCACACTTCAAAGGATAGGACCAAGACTCGTCTTGCAACTCCTATCAGACGTAGGCAACATCGACTTCCTGGCTGAGTTTGTAGGGTGACGCTACCAGCAAGACAGTAAGTTAAGTTAAGAATAAACATATGTAAGACCTAAGAAAACTTGTTTCATTTTCCTTATTTGCATTAATTCGCAGAGTTCAGTTTAATTTTTTCGTTCAAACCACATAAGAAAAGTGCATATTTATTTTAAGCATATAAAGGAGGGTATTTGGAACCTCCTGGGGAAACCCGTTAAGAGGTGGACCCTATCTCCTTAAAGGATCTAATTAATGGAAGTAAGCCACAAGACAGAAAGGGACAAAACTAAATAAGCATCAATCAGACCTACAGTCTACTTCTATTCCAATCACTTTGTTGTATCTCGCATCCACACTCTAGAACCTATCCAATCCTAATCGGGGGCACTTGCAGTCCCCTTCAGGAGCTGTAAGTGTCTAATCGAAAAATGGTTATTATGCGGTCCTGAATGACAAGAAGAGTGGTTTGTCACTTGAGTACATATTCGAATGTTTATATTTCTTAAACATAGCAATAAAATTACATTCCTCGTTTTTGATACTTTTTCCTTGCCTCAGACATTGCTGTTAAAGAAGGGTTTTTGATTACGTTACTTAAAAACTTTTAATAAATCAATGTAAACTAATATATAAAAAATATCATGTATAATAAATAACCAATCCTGCTAAGTAGTTTCCACGTTTCACAAGAATTAAATCTGTAAACTTCTTTATCTCAAAATGTATAAAATGTGACATTCCTCGTTTTTCCCGGTTGTGCGGTAAATACAATTGAAGATTCAATTATATCTACAACACAGTATGAAGCTGAAGATCTTTTTTTCATATTGCATTATACAAACATATAACGAGACTCCTAGATAGAGTAGTGTCTATCTTTGTTTCGTTCGTTGCATTATATCTTGGAACCGAAACTAACTGAAAAAAAAACCGAAACCGGAACTGACCTGAATTCGAAAATATTTTCTAAACCGGAACCGTACCGGAACCTAAACTTTAAATTTCGTCTCGTACCGAAACAGATATTTCGATTCGGTCCGGATCCTTCCTACTAATACCGGTTTCAGAAAATTTGCTATAAAAGATTATAAAGTAAGCATCTTGTTGACGGCGAATGCGAAGGCCACCGCCGGATCACCTAGATAATTACCAAAAAGTCATACATTGGGTGGTATTATTTACTTAAATAACATTACGTTCACTGGAAAATGTGTTTTAGTTAATTCGTGCTATTTACTTTGTACTTCCTTATTTCACTAATTATTGCGATTGGAAATTGGGTAAATAACTGGTTCTGTTAAGCCCACCCAAAGTTGATGCCGGTCATTTGATAAAATCTCATATTAAAGGGCCTGAAAAAATCCCGCAATCTCTGTAAAACTACCGGATTCACATAAGGGTGGTTCCTTCCTTTTGTTTTGCCCAAGCAGTGTGGCGCACTATGCCCCTCACTTTTAAATAAGCACGGAAAACCTTTCGTTGTATTGAAATAAAAATGTTTTTCGGTAACTACGCGCTTTAAACCTAAAAAGTCTTGAACTCGTTTGAGTTCGATGGCAGGATCTAAAATTAATCGCTCACCACTAATGAATAACAGCTGAGACAAGGGGAAGAATTTCAGCCACCTGGTGAGATATTTGTAGTAAAGACCAAGCTTGACAGGACCCCAAGAAGTGTCCACAATACTACCAACAGTGCCATTAATAAATACCATTTCTTCGAATGTCTTCATCTCGGGTTTTTTTGACGCAGCTTGTGTATAGTCGGAGATAGCTCTAAATAGAAAGTATGCATTTTAGTTGATCAATTTACTCTACTAAAACCTAAATGTTATAATTCTGGCAAACTCAAATCACAATTGTAAGCAAAATAAAGTTAAAAATAAAGTTTATAAGTTGTTGTATAATTTTGTTTTTGGACGTAAAAACTTAGTTTTTAAAAAACGTTTATTTTTACAAACCAAAAATAGATTTTTCAATAGCGAACTAACTACCTTAACTGCTAACTTAGGACTAATTTCCACATGCCGAATGCGCAGCTTATATAGTGATTAAATGCTGCATCGACAGTTATGGATTAATACCCAGTGGTCTGCGTAAGTGGTCATATAAATGTATTCTTAAAAAAGTACTAAATAAAAAATTACATAATGTTTTATGTGTATACAGTGTGTAATAACAAAATTAAATTCGTTGGTAGGAATGAAAGCCTTTGACGATGTAACTGATATTAGGCCAGGAGAATTACGACGAACATTTTCAAATATGGCTCTAACTTATATAAATCCTTGAATTGCTCGGGAATGGTTTACCAATTGAAAATATCGAGGTGCGCCAGCTTGAAAAGGTGTGCTATTTGCATAAACAACGAATCAACCAAGGGAATAAACCCTAATAGTAAATTCTGGTTTTCCAGGTTGGAGATTCTTAGGTAAGGTTAGCAACCTGTCTCAAGGTTGCAAGGCTCAAGAAATCGAGGTGCGCCCGCTTGAAAATGTGTGTTTATTTACATAAACAACGAAAAAGTGAAATAATGACAAAATCGCGTTTTTTCCCGGGAAACAATCGCATATAACTCGGTAAGTATGCATTTTGGAGAAAAAATGTATACTTATAAATTTGTTCGTTATGCAATTTGCTATTAAGATGGAATTTTGTCCCATGTCCGTAGATTTGAAATGTTCGCTTTGAAATGCTTTTCTTCTTCTTCCTCTTTATCTGGGCGCATCGCCTGTTTGATTCCGGTTCATTTGAAGCAGTTTCTGCGAGGTTGATTGCCAACTGACTAACAATCGTTTTGGTGGTCATCCCACCCAGTCTTCTCCCATGTGGTGTGGTGTTTTGTACTATCTTGGCTATTCTGTCGGGACTCATTCGGTTCACATGCTGGTTCCATTCTCTTCTGCTTTTCCTTGTCCTTTGACTACGCTGTCGGTTTGGCACCTTTCTCATATGTCTTTAATTGTTTGCCTAACGTTAATTATGTGTGTCCTGTTATTGCTCTTAGGGTCTTCATCTGAGTTGTTCTTAAGATTCTCTTTGTTACTGAAGTTTCAGCTCTTGCTTCCGCACCATATTCCGCGTCGTCATTAGCTGTACACATTTTCGATTTGCAATATATGCTTCTTCTTCTTATCTCGCCGTCTCCTTACGAAGGTTGGCGATCTTTGGACAGTGCGGTTTTGAAAACTGCTGCTCGAAAAGCCTCTGTGGATGTGCGCCCAAACCACCTGCGGATGTCTTTCAACCATTAGTTCTGGCGTCTTCCGATGGATCTTTTTCTCGAATCTTCCCTTTGATGATGAGTTTCAGGATTTCGTATCGGCTGCCCCTCATATGTCTAAGATACTATGTTTTCCTTTCTTTTATCGTCTGTAGCAGTTCCTTTCCTTTGTTTATACGTGTTAGAACTTTCATATTGGTTATCCTCTGTATCCAAGAAATTCTTGGCATGCGCGTCGATAGAGATACATCATAAATTCGTCGATTCCAGGGTCCAGCTCTCACTGCGGTATAGAAAGACAGAGAACACATAGCAACGGAGCATGCGTGTCCTGAGCTCTAAGCTCAATTGTAATCCAGTAAAGAGTTTCATACTATCAACGACCTTCCTCGCCTGTTCTATTTTGGCTCTGGTTTCACTTTTAGAGTCACAGTCCTGATCTATCGAGGGATCCAGGAGGAGACCTACTCTATCTCATCTATGGTCTTGGTTTTGGATATGTTCATGGAAAGACTATTTTATGAATCATTCTCTGTAATTCACTTGGATTGCTGGCTATGCGGACGGTGTCATCCGCGTATCTTAAGTTATTTATTACCTTCCCATGCACTACTATTCATCCTGTTGTTTCGTCAAATGCTTCTCTGAATATTGCCTTATTGCCTCCGAGTATATGTTAAAAAGAAGGGACGACCAGACGCAGCCCTGCATCACTCCCCTCATGATCTAGACGTTTCCTGACGTTTTGCCGTTTATTCGGATTGCGACCGATTGCCCCCAATATAGGTCACCAATCACACGAATGTTCCTATTATCGATACCTGTAGATGTTAAGATATGTATTCGTTTTTCGTGTTTAACGCAGTCAAATGCTTTGTGATAGCCTATAAAGCATGCGTATACGTCAATATTCATATCTCTACATCTTTGTGCTAAGACTTTCAGAGACAAGAGGGCTTTTTGTATGCCAACCCCATTCCGGAAAAACTGGGTATCGTTAACTTGGGTCTCGCATTTGTGGTAAATTCTTGTGTGAATTACTCTTAAGAAGGTCTTGAAGGCATGTGACATGAGACTTATCAGGCGGTAGTCGTCGCAGTTCGAGGAGCCATCCTTTTTGGGTAGGGTGATGAACGTAGATCTCAGCCAGCTAACTAGTATCCTACCACTCGAACATATGCTGTTGAATAGTGATGTTAGAAGATCAAGACCTGATTTGTCGTTCTCTACCATAATCTTCAGAGTTTCAGAATATATGTCATCTGAACCATTTGCTTTTTCGTTTTTTTGTAGTTTGATAGCATAAGTAACTTAATTTTATGTATTTTTAGGTCCGATTTCTTCAGCATCGTCGCTTTTTGGTGGAAGGTTAGATCTGTTGAATCTATGCTTAGGTGTTCATGTGCTCATCTAAGATGCCCTGATATTTTTTATTATTATTTTCTATTGCCAGTTTGCAGCGCAGGGGTTCATTTGCTATAGTCATGCATTTGGTCTTGTTTATGGAGGTTTGCATGTTAAGTTTTCGTGCCTGTTTGTTAAAAGCTTGTAATATGTTTTGGGGGTCATCTTCTGATTCCGCGATAAGTACTGCGTTGTCGGCATAGCATAATATGTTTATTTTATACATTCTCATTCGACATCTTAATCCAGTGTGCTTTGTGGCTTTAACTAATCCGTCCATGATTGTGTTAAATAACACAGGGCTGAGGCTGTGGCCTTGGCGAATACCTGTTGTTGTTCGGAGGTGCTGTATTAGTGTCGAGTTTGCTCGTATTTGCGTTTGTGTGTCACTACTTAGATCCTTAAGCCCATTTTCATCAGAAACAAGCGAAACGCAGTTTGACGAAATTAAGTTTATGTTAAACGCCGAAATTAAACTCGTTTAACAACGGACCGTTTTCACCAGCGCTTCGGCACGTTTCATAAACTGCGTTTATTGAAACGCAGTTTAAGAAACTGCAAACACTGGCATCGTTGCAAAAGTGAGAAATATTACGATTCTCATCGCAAAATCATCTTATCAAGAAACCATTTGGGTCCATGACGTCAATAATCCGTTATCAAACCCAATTTTTCTGCTCGAACTAACCGTAAAATTCAGGAAGGAGATTTTACTGGGTAAAACATCTTGGCTGGAATCTCACAAAACCCAGAACGCTAGAACATCAGCTCTATCGCGGAGCTCATCCCATGTACAATTGGATGTGATGTAGTTGTGCTGAAAGCCTTAAAATCTCTAGCAGAAATTTGTATTTCTGTGACATGAAACCGCAAAGCACCGAGAAGTTGGCTTATCGGCGACACAATTACAGACAGGACAGACAAAGTACATAAGTAACAATCAAATGTTCGTAGACTTC